CAGAAAAATTCATATTTTAAATTAATTAATTAACTTATTCAAATTTTGTATTTTAATATAATAACAATACAATTTTCCATCGATTTCCCTCCTTTCCTTATAAATTCATGCACAAATAATGTCATAAGCTTAATCTTTTGATACATAAAAGATATTTTCACTAGTTAAGCTGATCCCTAAGTAGTCTATATATCATCTCTAATATCATGTATAATCCCAAACTCAAGTAAACCATATATTACTTATTAATTTACTAATTTTCTGCCTATATTCAATGGAACTGTGACTAATCCTTAGATAATTTATAGATTTTTACAATTTTTCCAAATGACTTTAATTACTTCCCAGCCAAAAAATAAAAATAAAAACCATTAATAAGACAAATTTTTCATAGCCAAAAATGTCAACTCGAAAGATAGAAAATAGAAGAAGCAGCAGACAAAACCTATTTGTATCCCATTGACTTTTGATGTTCCATTCTCTGTGCTCAGTTCTCAGTTTTTATGGTGCCGCATTTTTATGGCCACCTTGTTTGGCCTCGAGGTCTAGGTGATATCATGGAAAGAACTTTTTTGGATATGCTGATATGTGGGCGCTTAGTCAACGGGCAACCCTCGCTTCTAAGGGGGGTTGGTAATTGCAACACGCATTTGAATTTCGAATTATGTATTTGAATAACGGTTATATGCCCAAAAATTATAACTGTAATTGTGCGAGTGTCGCCAGTGCTTGTGGCATGTTGTACAAGTTGTTGTTGTTGTGCGAGCGGTTGTTGTTGTTGTTGTTGTTGTTGCATCTTTTTATCAATGCATTAAGTGCCGCCGCCGTCGCGCACTCATTATGAGGGCTTCCCCCTCAGCCCTGCCGCCGCTCTCCCTCCCTCGTCTATGCCTACTCTTGCTCTTCTACTGCTCTCAGCGACCCTCGCGCTGACAAGAACAACATTCAAAATATATTGTATATACAAATACACATGCAGCGAAATCGTAAAAAAAAACCAAATATAATAAAAAATAAATAAAATTTTGAGTGTTTAAAATGGGAATACACGCTAGACGACTAAATACCCTAGCTAGAATGAATGTTGGGCATATAACTTAATAGTAGGTATCAGATCAATAATTTATCATATACCTTTAACAGTTGCAGGACTTTCATAGGGATTCTATTTGTGAAAGCTGCTTGCTATGTAATCCATGAGAAACTTTGCTTCTGCAAACAAAACCTTGATACGCATTTCCAAAGATATAAATATATTAGAAGTCAGAAAGTCCACTCATTTTTGTTATTCTACATTTAAAAATTCATGGATATATTACAGGCTGTAATTTACAGCTATGAATCCATAGTATGTTACTGCATATGCTAGCAATTGCTTTACTTCCAGAAACTAAAGAATATGATTCTCCTCAGTTTATGCTCAAAATATATTCAAAAGAAGTTTTAGAACACTGTGTTTAATGAACCTTGTGATAATAATGTTCAGCCTCAATCAATGTACAAGTACCTATGTCAACTTGTCAAGGATAGAATGAGAGCCAAGACTCTTATAGTTTGATAAGAATATAGCAACTGCAACTGCATTGCTGAGGATGAGGAAGACCTCAAAAATGTATGTATGTATATAAACGCATATACATATTTGTATTTCCTTTAAATAGTTTAAAGTTCATTTCGTGACAATATTCAAATACCCTAAGCAAGTGCATTTGTATGGGGAAGAAAAAACTAAAAACGAAATATAAATAAAAATGAAAATACACGCTGGCGTTCAAAAGGGCACGCTTTTCATAATAAACATTAGCGCTGCGACCGAATGCCTGTCCGTCCCTCTGTCCCTCCGTCCTTCTGTCATTCATTCAGTCGGTCCGTCTACTCGTCTGTCAGCTGTACGTTGCGATCTGTGCGACCCGTGCGAGTGCCTGCCTAACGCTAACTCCTACTCTGCCTACTCGCCCCCTCTCAGCCGGCAGCTGCTCTCTTCTCTCTCCACTCCTCCTCCCGCTCCCTCTCTCAAACTTCTCATGGTTCGCTGGCGTCCGTTCTGCACTTTTGTTTGTTTGTTTGTTTGTGAATTGGTCGTCTTTAGTTACACTTGAATACGTTTTGTGTGTCCGACTATGTTATGTTAGTATTAATGTGTGTGCTGTGGGTTATGGCAGTTGGCTCTGGCAGTGGCTGTTGCAATTGCACCCGCACTGCACTTCACCTACTTCGCTTGCGCTTAAAAATAGAATTGCATACTTAGCGGCGCAGGAAGCGGCCTCTGTCAACGGCTGTAAACCCTTTGCAATTGCCCAGGCCCCCGCATCCCCACCCCACACACACTGCCCACAACATTACACTTGAAGAAATGAAGGAGTCACCTAAGTTGGCTTTGAAAGTTTTTAATATTGCATTCGAAATAAATATTTTAATTGAATAAATAATTGACCTAAAATTTGCTTTACAAATTTTAATAACATATAAATCTATATTTTCAATCTATGTGAAATAACTATAAGAATACTGTAAAGATTTTCTGTCTGAATCGAATGCTAAAGCTCAAATATATTATATCAAATACATTAGTATTTATCTGCCCACATTTGAGTCAAGCGTTGATTAGTGATCAATAAGATTTGACTTAGGTAAATGTCCAGCTAATTCAGATTTATCTATGACTATTTTAAGCTTTAGACAATAGATACATTTCGCTCAGTGTAGAGCTCAGTTGGCTTTTGTCTTGGACACAAAAATAAAAGAAGAAACTTTTGCTGTCCAAGTCCAGGCTGGGGCGTCTTATTATAGCTAAGCATGTCAGCTACTTACGCGTTGTGCTTCTTCTTCTTCTTCTTCTTCTTCTTGATGTCGTCGGTGTTCCTCCTGCTGTCGTTGTTGTTGTTGTTGTTATTTGTAGTCTGGTGCAGTGCGACAGTGTTGGGCGTGGATGTCAGCAGCGGCCGCTTATGAGTAAACATGTATCCAGTTACACGCTGTTATTGTATGCAAGTGTCCTGCGTATCCTTTTCCTTTTTTGTATTTTTAAAGCCAGCCCGAATTGTGTCGCACACACACACTCTCTATCTATCTGTCTAGGTGTGTGTGTTTGCTTGGGACATCTGTAACCTTATCGCCTATACACTTTAGTTTTTGTTGTTTTTGTTTGCTTTGCGTATCCTGTGCTTCAATATATTTCATATAGTTGCTGCCGCCAGCTGCCTATGTGTGTGCACACATACACATACAGAAACACAAACACAAACACGCACACTCTCACATCTATCAATATACATATTATGCATTTAATTGAACACTTCACATAGTGAAGCACGCACGCACACACACGCGCGCGCTCTTTCGCTCACGCACACCGTTTCAAATATCCTGCTGGTGCTCAACACACAAAATATCAACAACTACTCAGCAGTGCGGCATTGTTATTGTTATTGTTATTGGCTCGCTTGCTGTCGACACGCACACACACAAACACACGCGCGCACTTTATGCCTTGCTTCGTTTTCCCGCATAAAAACCGTTCGATCTCTTACGCGTTTTTAGTCGATCTTACGTTTCTGTTTCAGTGCGCTGTCGCGTCGCTGCGTGCGTTCACATTGACGTTTCAAATCGGAATGAAGTTGCGCGCTCACTTGTAGCAGCCAGCAGCCTGTCAACACAATCACACACACACATATACAGAACGTGAACGCGCGCTCTCGCTCTCTCTCTCTCATACAGTATGTGTGTGTCGTATTCTCTTACGTTACGCTCTCAGTGGCGCTCAGTTGTGCAGTTTCACAGGCAGCATCCCCAGTAACGGCAGCGCGCGCTCTTGTTGTTKTTGCTTTTGGTGTTGTTCCTGTTGGAGCTGTGTTGGCATATGCTGCAGGAAGTAGAAGTGGGCAATGAGCGGGCAGTGGCATGACAGAGGCAGAGCTGTTGCCATTTCGGCTCTCCCATCGCAATGCTATTTTGTATCTTCTGTTTGATATAGTTCTTTTTTTTGTTTTTCGTTTTCCTTTTGGAGTGTGTGTGTGCGCTTCTAATTTTACACACGAAATTCCAGAGATGCTTTCATATTTTCCGTTTGATGATTTATTTGACTGCAGCGGCAATTAAAGGCCTTTTATTTCACTTTTTATCAACTGCATTTCCCATTGACATTGACGACGAGAGCGAGGGGCGCGTGTTTTATTTATATTTTTGTTGCTGCGCGCACCCACAACACTCACAAACGCACACACATATAGGCACGCACTCGTACGCACACACCTACGACAGTAGACTTTTTGTCTGCCTTTTCACTTTTTGGCCTTAGCCAATTTTTTGTTGGCGGCTTTGAACTTGTACAATAAGCGCACATCAACTTAATTAGCTGCAATTAATTAATTAATTATTATTTTGCAGCTTTTATGCTGTTTTTCACGTTTATTCTTTTGTGTTGTTTGTGGAGCGCATTCCAATGCCATCCGTCAGCAGCAGCAGCGACTCCAATCAGAACCTGCTCCTGAAGTTTGCAGCATCCAACTGATACGACACACGAAGAGCCTTTTAAGGCGGCATCTAGCGGCTAAAAGTGGCAGTTGATAAGACGCAGCAGGCAGCTTTTGTTGGGTGGCGATTACGATAGGTTTTTATGTTGTGGCGGCGTTCGATTACTTCGTTAAGTGAATAGGTTTATGTATTGAATACATCGTCAAGTATGTAAGCTTCGTTCAAGTTGCAGCGACCTGACTTGTCTTAGCGAGGACAACTACCACACTCAGTACCCTCAAATGTTTGTGTTGCTGTCAAACTGTTTTTCCCAACTGTTCGTCGAAGAGAGAAACAGGAATGAAATGGAATTGGTATGAAAATTCGTAAAAATGGAAATGAATGCAAAAAAAAATGCTATTGAATAGAGGCTTGATATACAATATGTATAGTCATTATTCGTTTTACAACATCATATTAAGCCTAGATTTATGGAATTTTCTTTCATAAGCCCCCATAAAAACTCATTTCACTTTAACATCCAAGACACAAAAAACATATGCGTATATTTATTTAAATTAGACAATAGTAAAAACTTAAGTGACAATATTAACTAATTCTTATACATGTCGCAGAGGACCTTCTCCATGGGCGTATTCCCTATGGTTCGCTGAAAGAAGATCGATTCGATCTTATGTGAGTTGATCATGCGAAGAAGAGGAAGCATGAGCAGCAGACGACCGAAGCGAGCGATTTGAGCGGCGAATTGAGTTTTCGTGTGCTGCGAGAGCATAACCTGGGAATAGATGGGAATGGAACAGTTTAAATAGAGCAGGAGAAAGTGAGAGTGAGAGAGAGAGAGTGATAAACTTACATGCGCTTGATCCTGTAAATTTTCGATCTGCGCTGGGTCCTTGAGGCCTCGGGTTTCGGGTCGGAAGAGCACGATCGCCTTGAGGCAAGCGAACTCAGCGGGATCCACGAGAACCGCTTTGTACTTGCAGAAGATTTCGTGCAGTGTACGCACATCGGCAGCTAACTAAAGAGTGTGAGAGAGAGAGAGAGAGATGTTATTGATGTTTCACTGTAGTTGTGCCTCTCCACTCACCTCCTCTTTGCTAACACAATTGTCTGTATTCGCATTATTCTCCAAGTTATTGCAATGCTCGGCGACCGAGAACAAGGCACAGCCCGTGGGATCGAGTGGAATGCACCATTGAATGGCATTCAGCAGAAACAGCTCCGACCAGGACTCCTCCAGCAGGATGACCTGGTCGCGAAACGAAAGCCTTGCGAAGCTGGGCAGATTCTTGGCCCACTTGACGGCCATGAAGAGCAGCCGCGCGCTCGTCTCGTACACCGTCTCATGCTGATGCGCATAGAGATTGGGCGACATGAACTGGGGCATTATGAAGCTGGAGTCGGATCTGCTGCCCGTATTGGGCTCCTCATCGTTGGTCACGTCTATCGAGTCGTCTGTTAAGGAGAAAATTTTGAAATTTTGAAAATATAAATACAATATATATGAGACTAAATAGATTTTTAATAAGAGTCTAACTAAAGATTTCAGTTTATATTTAAAATACTCGAGGTATTTAAGCCCATGATGGAAACATTTTCTGCTCTAAAGGAAAGCTTTCTACCAGGAGCTACTCTATAATATGAGGCTTGGCTATGTCCAGCTATCAAATTGTGATGAGAATGTTGATAATGACAATAATAATTATAATAATGGGAATAACAATAAGTGACTAAAAAGTAAATTCCAATGAGAAAGAACAACATAATTCATAATCAATACGACAATTCTAATGATTATGACAATTTTAATTATGATGATAAAGAGAACGAGAAGGAGAGGGAGAAGTTAAACAAAAATAAGAATGATGATATCGATAATGAAAAGAGTACACATCATAATGATAGCTCCTCTAATCAATCTATTTATCAGGATTCCGATTGGACTCTAGCTTTTGTCTTTTGCTCTACTCACCATCATTATCATTCTCTGGCGTTGGGCTGGAGGAGCTTATGGAGGAGACGCTTCCACCGGCATTGTTCTTCTCCTCTCTTGTGGCATCTGGCGCTGGTGAGCTGGGATCGATGCTGTGATTGCTGCTCGAGTTGGTGGAGTGAGAGATGTTGCCGCTGCTCGAGAGCTCCATGGAGACCCCATAGCCGCCCATCTTGTCCTTGGGCGAGTGGTGCAGTCCGGCCGCAGCGGCCGCATTGAACATGGGAAAGCTGCTCGCATGGGTCATGTGGTTCGAGGCCAGCTGCATGGAGGAGCTGAGATGATTGTGGTGCAGCAGGCGTCCCGTTGGCAGACTGCCCAGAGCTGTGGAGGACGAAACTGTGGTGCGTGAGACGATTGAGCGCGACCGGGCGAGGGATGTATAAGAACTTACAAGGCGGCGGCAGCAGGCCAGAGCCGTAGCAGGGCGGCGACAGTAGCACAGGGGGTCTGCAAATTGGCAAGGGAGAGCAGAGAGAGAGAGAGAGCGTGTGTTGCAGTTATGCAAATGACAACCAGTGGGTCCACTATCATCAGCTCTACTAGGTCAACTCACCCGAAAACACCAACGGCTACGGCAGCCTCTCGCAGCGCACGGCCGTGCTCCATCTCCCGCAGCGTCTCCGGCCGTATAGTGGCCGTGTTTCGTGGCTGTCGCTCATTTTGCACCGCTGTAATTGGAAAACAAAATGCATAAGTGAATTTCCTGGCACCCCTCGCACCACTCACACCACTCGCCCAGGCAACGCCCAGGCAAATTCGTCTGCGCATAATGAGAAAATGTCACAAAATGTCGCTTAACGCCTTTCTGCCTAAATGCCAAATAGTTTGGCAACACTGGTTGCGCGTGCCATCGCCACAGCCGGCGCTGTTGCCGCTCTCTGCGCTTCTCATTTGGCCTGGGGACATTGCTCGGTAAATTGGTTTTGTGGTCACGTGCCGCTTTACGCCCACAAATTGTTTTCCCATTTGTTTATGCAATTTTACCGCGACAACTCAATCTGTGCAGCGTGTGCCACGCCTCCTCCCCTCTTCCCCCCCCCCTTCCCCCTCCCCAGAGTCCTCGTTGCGCCACCTCGCGCGCTTTGCGGTAACTGTTGCCATTTTGCATATGGCTGGCATAATTTATGGTTCAATCGGCAGCGGGTGGGCCGAGCCATAATGAAGTGCGGCCTATTCTGCAGTTGTTAATAAGCGCACTCGACATCCGAGACGTGTCATGAGAGCGAAACTTAGACTACTGTTGAGCAAGCTCAGCCGGAGTGAGGCAATGTGAGCCGCGGATACGTGCTCGAGCTCATAAGTGCAAGGAGAGTATATTGGTTTGTGAGAAGTGTTTAAATTGGAGTGAGTTTGTTGGCTAGAGAGTTGGTATGTAGATCTCTAATCGATGTATATCATATATCACAGGATATACAATAGCCAGAGCATTTGACTTTTCGTTCTCTTCTCTCCTCTCTTCTACAGTGAAGTAAATAAAAGAAAAATGCCTACTAGAGGCGGGGTAAACTATTTGATTATCATTATATAGAGCTAGATATTATATGTTAGTGTCTCTTAAACTTATAGACTTGCGATTAAAAAACTTTATATACGAGCATTGCTAAAAATATATTGTCAAAGTATAGCTTATGCCTGTCTATGCCTTCACCTACGCCTATAAATTCAGAAATTTTTAATGTTCAATTTATTTTAGATAGCCTTTTGACTTGGTCTTGCTCTGAGTCGTCTTTGATTTCTGTATACTCAAAAGAATGAAGCCGGAAGTCTCTATAAAATGTTAAGTTCAAAATAAACAGAAAAACAGATCTATCAAGTAATCTTATAAACCTCTACATTTTCTTCTATTTTTAAAAATTCATAATAGGTATTATCTTGGATTTCATTTTAAAAAGAACTTAAGATCCGTTAAATGACCATAACTGAATCATTAAAGTAACATCTTTAATAAATGGCATAAACTTAATGTGCTCTACATCTCTTGCTCTTCAGGTAAGTCAAAATGGATTTTTGGCATAGCTAAAGTTCAATTAAGATTCACGACTTCACATTGACATCGACAAAGGACAACAAATTTGATTAGGAAAACAATAACTGAAAGCTACTTAGTAATTCTCTGCTGCACACAATAGAATGTAAGTGACTAAATACACTTATACATACAGACACGCAGACATGCATATATATTGTAACTATATACCTGAGCAATAATGCTGTGCTTTGTTCACTCAACTGCTATGGAAGCTGCTTAAAAATCTGTCAAAGACAACGACAGACAGCAGCAGGTAACAAATCAATTGAGTGAGCAATATGTAAATAAAGTGCACCACCCCAAAAAGTGAGCCACCGCGGAGCACACTCCAAGCCACTGGGAGATGAACAGGCAGGAAGCAGGAGCAGGAGCAACCCCAAAGCAACGCAAACCTTTTCATAATATTTGCGTTGCGTGGGAAAGGGTTATGCGAGAGACAAAAAGAGAGAGAGAGAGAGAGAGAGAGAGAGAGAGAGAGAGGGAGTGAGAGCGAAGCATCTTCTAGAGATATTTACATTAGACACACTCGCACGTGTCGCCAGGTTTTCGTTTTGAGGTCATGTTAAAGAGCAATTAAACGTGCTTCAGTTCATTAGAGCGTTTAGACAGATTATGAATATGGATGAGAGAGTGGGGAGGGAGCAAGAGTAAACGGGGTATAGCTATACATATACATATAAAGAACATAGTTGAACTAGAGCGTGCGAGTTATCGATTGATAAAGTGCTCAAAGGCGAGGAAAGCCTTAGGAGTTAAGCTAAACTCAATTTGTTAGATACAATTTCCACTGTCAATCATGAAGTGAAGAGCAATTATACATATGTATGACAACTAGCTGTGCTGATGGATAGAGGAAGAGAATTGATAGACTAGGCTAGTTCTAACACGGTTAGTTCTGATAGTCTAGTCATAGTATTCACCCTAAAACTTAGACCTTGGGATGTCGGGTCTATATCTCATGAATGAGTGACAACAAATTTTACTTTGGGGGAGTATTTATTAAGAGGTTTCTCATTTATAAACTAAGACAGCCCAAAATCCCAAGTTGAAAGCATGATAAATTGCTAAACTATGTTTCTATATTTACCATACTCCCAGGTAATTTAAATGTATTCAAATTTACTCTAATAAACATCTGTTTCGGAACTTGGAAAACACAATTAAGATGGTATATTCTATAATTAAGATGGTATGGATATTCTGTTACTTGAATTCAAAACTAAATTTTAAACAGAACAAGTTTATTAGTACATTCTCTAGGGCTTATTAGTACATTCTCTAGGACTCGGCACTCAAACCCCTCAGTTGGCCGGAGAATACTCATTTTCACAGTTTAGTCCGAAGCTACTCAATGAAGAGAATCTTCTTAGTTAAATCAGACAGCTCGAACACCGATCAATATATCAAAATCACAAATTTGTCTATACTCTTTAACCTTATATATCAGATTAGATTAGCCCAAGCCCAAGCACTTTGACTGCGCATTGCCCACTGAAATCGCTAAAATCAAATTCGAATTAATTCACTTACCATCCTTGTTCATTCCCATTTGAAGGCACTTCTTGAGCCTGCATGCCTGGCACTGGTTCCTATGGGCCTTGTCGACGACGCAGCGGCCGGTGCCCGCCTGGCAGCTGCAAGAATAAAAAGCAGAAAAAAAGCATTTTCAGTTTGGCGAGTTGAATGTTTAAGCGTTCGCAGGATAATTAAGTTAGACAGATGCCCAGTGTCAGGAATTGCAACATTTGTGAAATTTGGCTGGCAAGTGAAGCGTAAGCCCACTCACTAAGGCTAAGTATCTGAGCTGCAGCAAAAATGGTATCCGAACAGCTGAGCTGCGTATCTATTTTTGGCCTTTGTTCGGTATGTTTTTGTGGCACGCTGCATGAGGCATGCGGCATGAGGCGTGCGGCACTTGTGGCATTTTAATCAAATCACATTGACTGTCTGAAATCATTGCCAACCACCTCTTAAGCAGCAACAGCAGCCAGAGCACCAGCAAYACGCAGCAGCAGCAGTTGCTCTCCCTCTCACACCCTCGCGCTGTCGGCTGTTTAAGTCAGCTTTTGTCTGCCTTCGTCATCGTGCTGCGTCTCGCTCGCACTCGCTGCGACGCTTTGTGCTGCCTGGCTTCGGCTCTGTCGCACTCGTTAGCAGCTTTTGTGCTGCATCCTTGTCGCACTCTAAGCCTGCGCCAAAACTCAAAATACAAAATGGCAAAGGTTCTTTTGGCTTACCCCAGCCCCTCCATCAATGCTGTCTGCCTCTCTCGCTCTGCCTCGCTCTTTGCGTGTCCCTCGCATTTTTTATTTGCTCTGCGTGAAGTTTGACTAACTAACAAAGCACTTAGCTAAATGTATCCTTCAGATACACAGTTCGCCTATAAGTGTGTGTGTGTGTAGGTGTATGTGTGTGTGTGACCAGCCACTATTTGTGCCTGGAATATGCTAATTTTCTGTTTTTGTAAACAAATCACGTAGATTGAAGCCATAGCTGTGAACTGCCTCGAGTCGTTTATTGATTCGTTTTTTTATACACATTCTCTCTGGAGTTTATTTGGGAAAAAAATGAAGTTTTTTATTACCTTTTTTATATAATTGATTAATTTGATTATGAGACTGTAAAGGGGGCGTGGCAGATCCCATAAAGTATACATATATATGTATCTGTACATATATCCTTGATCAGAGCGATGAACTGAGTCACTATAGCTTGGTACGTCTATTACCTACATATATTATTTGTAGTATATATTCTACGAAGGTGTAGTCCTAATTACAGTAGATCCGGTCATAACGACTCCGCTTATAGCGTCTGTACGGTTATAGCAACGAAAATTCTGGTCCTCAGACAAACTTTAATGAGCAAACTCATACGGCTATAGCGACTTCCGGGTATAACGACGGTCCCTTGAGTGTCGCTATAACCGGATTCAACTGTATTTACAATTATTACCATTGCAGCTTGAATTTGTAATTACTTGACTTGGTATTTAAATCAACTTGACTTGAAATAGCATATTTGATGAACTCAATTAAGCTTTAAAAAAAACGAATTTTAAAAGCTTTAAATGTTATTGATAATATACATATTAAATCGAATTCTCTTATTTTTTTCCTTCTTATAAAATCTGGAATATGGCTTTAGTTCCTTTCTTTAATTTTTGAACAGTTTACGCCATTGTCTTCTTGAGGTCGGCTCTATGTAAGCCACCTTCTATCCCTGTTTTAATTCATCTATGCTTGCTCCGCTTATTGTGTGCTTCAGCTGCAATTATAAACTGACGGATAGTGAAAAGTTTAGGTAGTTCTATATATGAGACATATGTATGTATATATAGATATAATATTTTATATATATACTTACATAATATGTCTGTAATACATACATACATCTCATATATGTGAACAATTACAGACTGTCCTGTGAGTGTCCAAAAGTCTTTCAATTTTTAATAGACTCAAGTGTAAACTTTTACGCCCCCAATAACTAAAGCAAGGCAAGGCAAGGTTGGGCAGGTCCTAGAGGCATGCCCCTAAGCCGTGCCACAGCCAAGTCAACTTCAACTTTGAACAAACTTGTTAACTTATTAGCTCATGCATTATTCACACTTTATGCAACTGGTCAGACAATATAAAAGGAAACACTCAAACGATTTCCATTTTATTGAGTAATTGTCCGTGGCCGTTGCAAGATGGGTTTACGCCAGCTCTTCCCGGCGATGTACACGCTGCCGGACAAGTCGTCCGTCAAGTCGCGGCAGGCGACGCTCTACTTGCTGAACTGCATTTTTCTAATGGGCATCAGAACGCCGCCGAAGGGCTGCTGCCTCTTCCTCGTCTACGTCGCGTGGTCGTTTGCTTTAAATCTGTGCTCCACCTTCTATCAGCCCTTTGGCTTTATGATCGGCTATGTGTCGCACCTGTCGGAGTTCGCGCCTGGCGAGTTTCTCACCTCGCTGCAGGTGGCCTTCAATGCGTGGTCCTGCTCGACCAAGGTGATCATCGTCTGGATACTCGTGAAGCGTTTCGATCAGGCCAATGCGGTCTTCGATGAGCTGGACAAGCAAGTGCTCGAGCCGGCGGAGCGGGGCCGAATTCATCGCGCCGTCTCGCAGAGCAATCGGATCTTCTTCATCTATATGAGCGTCTATATAATCTATGCCACAACGACGTTCATCAGCGCCTGCATCAACGGCGTGCCGATGTTCCAGAACTATTATCCCTTTCTGGACTGGCGCGCTAGTCGCCAGCAATATTGGATACAATCGGGCCTGGAGTACTTTGCCATGTTCGGCGCCTGCTTCCAAGACGTTTGTGCCGATTGCTATCCCATCAATTATATCCTACCTCTGCGTGCTCATATGGCGAACTTTGCGGATCGACTGAGAGGACTGGGACACGATCCGCAGGAGAGTTCGGAGGAGCGTTACGAGAAGCTTATCGAGTGCATTAAGCACCATAAGCTCATACTAAGGTCGGATATGGGTCTCTCCGCATTATAGAGGAAGTTGTCAAGTTTCTCCCTTCTGCTTTCAGTTTCTGCGATACTTTGCGTCCCATCATCTCTGGCACCATTTTCGTTCAGCTTCTGGTTGTGGGATTGGTGCTGGGCTTCACCATCATCAACATTGTCATGTTTGCCAATTTCGCTTCTCGCATTGCTGCTCTCTCCTTTATGACAGCCGTCCTCTTGGAGACGACGCCCTTTTGCATACTCTGCAACTACTTGGCCGACGATTGCATGAAGCTAGCCGATGCGCTATTCGAATCGAATTGGATCTATCAGGATGAGCGCTATAAGAAGACCGTTCTACAGTTTCTACAGAATCTACAGAAGCCAATTGTCTTTATAGCTGGCAATGTTTTTACCATTTCTGTGGCTACAAATTTGAATGTGAGTTGAGATTGGATATTTTAAGAGAACTCGTCGTAAATATTTCATTTTTTGTTTATCTACTTTTCTTTCTGCTCATTAAACTCCTTCAGGCCACTAAGTTTTCGTTCTCGGTCTTTACTCTGGTCAAGCAAATGAATATTGCAGAAAAACTATCCCGACCCAATGGAACAGAATAAAGTTGTTAAAAATATAAATAATATCATCCCATAGTTTTATTCGATTTGAAAAAATTTGATGTGAAACTGATTGGAGACTACTGTAAATTTATCAAAATTGAGAATCTCTTTTATCTGAAATAAGGTCTTGACCTTAGATTTCTAAGAACTGTCCCGCTGTAGTGCTTCAGGTCTTTCTATCTATTACTATATCGATCTCGCACAACTTTTACCATTGTTGACCTCTATCTCAGACACAATAATTAGCTCCCTCTCTCTATCTCTCTCTTTCTCTCTCTTTCTCTCTCTCTCTCTCTCTCTCTCTCTGTCTCTCTCTATTTCCTCCACTCACTGTTCTTCTTTCTCTCACATTTTTATTGCTCCTCTCTCTCTTTCTCTCTAAAATATTCTGTTTATCTCCCACTCTCCTTATTTTTCTCTGTTGGTATCACTCCCTTACTCCCTTACTCTCTCTCTCTCTCTCTCTCTCTCACTCTTTATCTTTGTTCTTATTCTTTGTTCTGTTCGTATCTTCCTGTCAATAGCTATGTATGAAGTATATGAACTAAAATAATCCAATATTAGTCCATATATATTCTAAACTAAAACTATGTATAGTAATTTTTCTTTTGCTCTTCAATTCCCTTTCTCTCCGAGTTTCATAAAGTTCTGATTGAAGGCAATTGATTATAATTGAAATTGTCTTAATGCGGCCACCAGAGACGAATATATATATAAATATATTATATAGATCCTTTCTGGCGGCACATTGACTTCGCTGACTATCCAAAACACAAGTCACGTAGCAGAAAAATAAACTCCTCGTCCTTTTGCAAGGCTTCACCCCACTTCACCCCACGTTTCCCGCTCGAACTTTTGCTCTATTTTGCCTTCCTCCTTCTTGTGCCCTTTTTCTGTGCTGCGATTTGGTCCTGGCTTAGCTGTTGACGGTGGTTGCGTGGTTGGCTGGTTTGCCATAAGGGTCTCTTTGAAGGGAGGAGGTAGAGCGCGAGGAGGCGGAGTGGTAGGTGGGTGCTGCGTGCTCTGCTGGTGTGACGCGGCGGTCACATTTGGCCAAGTGTTTTGCGCTTAAGCCCTCCATATCAATCTCTGGGGACCGCAAGGATATAGAGATTTCGACATTTGTGATTTACCGCGCCAAGGATATACAGATACGCAGAGGCTACACAGAGGCTATGCAGTCTAAAGACATATATACATTACATAGAATCATAATTTGATGTTGACTCGCCAGGAATTTGTCGCCCACAAAATATGTGGCCAAGGGGGCAGGGCCGAGGGGGCCAACTATGCGCTGATTTAATGATAATTGAAAACGAAACTGAAACAAGTGCCATAAAATAAAAACAAATTGTTTAAGTGTATGAGAATATTAAAGAAAATGGGGAAGAATATGGGAATGTTTATATCCCTTATATATCCCTTAACTAAACTTTAAGTCATTACGAGGTGTGCTCAAAAAGTATTGCGAATTTTTATCAGCAGGGAAAAGGGACTAGATTATAATAGACGATCTTTTCAAGTGGTAAGAGTGCTGGAGAAATGATATAAAATAATAATAGTAATTTAAATAATACTAATA